TGAGAGATAGAGAGCGTGTGAGAGATAGAGAGTGTGTGAGAGATAGAGAGCGTGAGATATAGTGCGTGAGAGAGATAGCGAGCGTGAGAAAGATAGAGAGCGTGAGAGAGATAGAGAGTGTGAGAGATAGAGAGCGTGTGAGAGATAGAGCACGTGTGATATAGAGTGCGTAAGAGAGATAGAGAGAGCGTGAGAGATATAGAGTGCATGAGAGAGATAGAGAGCGTTAGAGAGATAGAGCACGTGCGATATAGAGTGCGTGAGAGAGATAGAGAGAGCGTGAGAGATATAGAGCACGTGAGAGAGATAGAGAGCGCATGAGAGAGATATAGCGTGTGAGAGAAAGATATAGCGTGTGAGAGAGAAATAGAGCATGTGAGAAATAGAGCACAGTCACACACCGGCCACATATACGCGTGTCACACTCGCTCAAAAATTACATCACCGAGGCCACAGATATTTCTTCCTAGAAGACGTTCATGTACGGTTCGATCTTACCTTGAGGAGATCTTACCAGCTCCGAGCAAAATTTCCAGAAAAAAAGAGTTCAAACCCACAGAATTGTTCTCCTAGACAACATTCATGCACGGATCGATCTTATCTTGATGAGATCTTACCAGCACCAATAAAAATTTACCGGAAAATATTCCCGATTACAGAGCCATTTCCCCTTGTGAAATATTCCTGCACGACCGGAAGAATACCTTTTCCCGAAAACGTTCTCGCACCGATAACAATTCCCTCCCTGAAATAATTTTCGCGTCACACGCCAATTCACGTCAATTTTCGCCCCCAAAAAGCATTCGGACCAATCATAGTTTTTTTTTAAACGTTAGACTGAGTGACTGTTGGCCTATCTATCCAAGCGTGAGAACCACACCCCCTTGGATTTTGTCGCTAGTTTGGTCAAGTTCAACCAAACTTCTTTTTTTTCTTCGCGCATGCCAATTTCTCAAATTCTCGGCACTTTGTTAATACGCATTGTCTTTTAGAACGTTGCTACTACGACTACGATTGGCTAGAGCTGCCTGTCGATCACAGCAGGCAGACAGCTGATTGGCTCACCTGCACCAGTGCCGTCCTTCACGCGAATGTCGTATGCCTGCTGGAAGCGCGGGCAGGGGTCAACCAAGGTCAACAACATGTGCGTCTGTCCGATCACCTCTGGGTTGGCTAGAAGAGTAGAAACATTAAAATGAAACAATTCATTCACTGCGCGCACGCTCTCTCTCTCTCTCTCTTTCCCCCCTCTCGCGCTCTCTCTCTCTCTCTCTCACCCTCCTCTCTCTCTCTCTCTCAGTGTGAGAGAGAGATAGAGCGTGTGAGAGAAAGATAGAGAGTGTGAGAGAAAGATAGAGAGTGTGAGAGAAAGATAGAGAGTGTGAGAGAAAGATAGAGAGTGTGAGAGAAAGATATAGCGTGTGAGAGAGAGATAGAGAGCGTGTGAGAGATAGAGCGCAGTCACACACCGGCCACATATACGCGTGTCACACTCGCTCAAAAATTACATCACCGAGGCCACAGATATTCCCTCCTAGAAGACGTTCATGTACGGTTCGATCTTACCTTGAGGAGATCTTACCAGCTCCGAGCAAAATTTCCAGAAAAAAAAGTTCAAACCCACCGATTTTTTCTCCTAGACAACATTCATCTGATCTTAATGAGATCTTACCCGCACCGATAAAAATTTCCCGGAAAATATTCCCGAATACAGAGACATTCCCCCCTGTGAAATATTCCTGCACGACCAGAAGAATATCTTTTCCGAAAATGTCCTTGCACCGATAACGATTCCCTCCCTGAAATAATTTTTACGTCACACGCCAATTCACGTCAATTTTCGCCCCCAAAAAGCATTCGGACCGATCATAGGTTTTTTTAAACGTTAGACTGAGCGACTGTTGGCCTATCTATCCAAGCGTGAGAACCACACCCCCTTGGATTTTGTCGCTAGTTTGGTCAAGCTCAACCAAACTTATACTTTTTTCTTTGCGCATGCCGATTTCTCAAATTCTCGGCACTTTGTTAATACGCATTCTCTTTTAGAACGTTGCTACTACGACGACGATTGGCTAGAGCTGCCTATCGATCACAGCAGGCAGACAGATGATTGGCTCACCTGCACCAGTGCCGTCCTTCACGCGAATGTCGTACGCCTGCTGGAAGCGCGGGCAGGGGTCGACCAAGGTCAACAACATGCGCGTCTGTCCGATCACCTCTGGGTTGGCTAGAAGAGTAGAAACATTAAAATGAAACAATTCATTCACTGCGCGCGCGCTCTCTCTCTCTCTCCCTCCTCTCTCT